CAAGTAAGGAACCATCTGTTTCTACCCCATCAAAAGATAATTCTAAAACTCCAACACAAGCATTATCTGAAAGGGATTCTGCTAATCATAGTCCAGTTTCTGGTGTTTTAGAAGGTAGTGTCACGGATGAAGCCAGAAGTGAAGGAAGCACAGACAGTGGGAAAGGTAATTAATTGATTATTAAATTTAAATTCAAAATATTCTATCATTAATACAATATCATATTTTATTGCAGGAGGAAGTATCAAAGGTCATACAAAAGACAATGTAATTGCAGTAACATATGAGTTTTCTATCCCACAAAATTTAGTTGGAAGATTAATTGGTCGTCATGGAAGTTTTTTGCAAAATATTCGACACAAAGCTGAAGTACATATAGTTGTTAAACGTCATCCTGTATGGAGAGATCAAAAAATTTGTGCCATAGAGGGTTCCGCGGAAGGAATTAACATCGCCCTAGATATGATACGACAAAAATTTCCTGAGAAAAAATATCCTCATGTGACTCTTGAACAGATTTTACCATTAAAAATTCCAGAAGAGATCCCTTGGGTCACTGAGTTAATGCAATTATCATTAGTAGAGGGAATGAACAATGATGTTGTTATATGTCATATAGTGAAACCTAATCAATTCTTTGTTCAACTTCCTACTCATCCTACATACCCATCTTTGAGAATTTTAGACGAAAATATGACACAGTTATATGAGACAACAGAATCGCCGCCAGCTCCAGATGAACTTAGTAGTACGTTTATAATATATGATTATAATCCATTTTTTCTATTATATTATAATTAATATTACCGAATTTTTATAAATAAGAATATTAATATAAAAAATTATTATTAATTGTTTAATTATTTAATAAACAACTTTATTTATTTTAATTTACAGAAGGTATGATCTTAGTTGCAAAATGGTATAACAGATGGGTTAGAGTATATATTGAACAACCAGATCCTCATGGAGAACAGCATTTAGTACGATTAGTTGATCATGGAGGTTATTGGATTTTTAGTAATACCGAAATGAGAAAAATTAGGTCAGATTACCTCTCGTTACCATTTCAAGCAATTGAAATATTTTTAGCTAATGTTCAACCAAAGGATGGTAAGTATAGAGTTATATTTTTTCTGTATTTTTTTATATAAATCAATAATTGTTGCAAAAAATTGTATATCGTATATATTAGGTGAATGGAATCAAGAAGCTTATAATGTAGTTGCTCACGTATGTTGTGGAATTGTCGGTCAAGCTCAAATAGTAGGTTACATCAATACAAACACATACGTTAATCTTTATCTTAATATTCATAAACACGGAGTAAGTAAATCTCAATTCTAATGAAAAATTTTTGTTGATTATAGATATATAAATTTATCACTCACATATGCTTTAATCATTTTTATCTACCTATCTAATTTTATTTGTTGAATTTATTAGGTGATATCTCTTGCTGATGAATTAGTAGCTCGTGGTTTCGCGGAATCCATACCATTAGAAAATATAGTTCCAGAAGAAGTATCAGTTTCTTAAGGTATGCATTAGAATAGTTCTTAATAAATGTATTGTAAAAAAATCGTGCGGTGATAATACGTGATGATATAAATTTTTTAGTCACTAATTACATATATAATTCGAATTGATTCTCATACTCGGAGTTTAATATTTCATAATATTTTCACAGTTTAAGGAAAAATTCCAACAAAAAATTCTTCCCAATATTTGAAAGTTTTTATTACTAGAGTAGTTTTTCATATTCTATTTGATATGCTCAGTTTCATATTTATTACATTTAGATTGAGTTATGACATAATAGCATACATTTTCAATACATTAAGTATCAATGGACATATATAATGAATTATATTTCACGAGCATTTATAAATACTCCTCGTGTATGATTTGTGACAAGTACAAATGTGAACTATTATATTTAGAATGTGGCATTTTTACGTGCATGGTTAAAAATTTTTTAATATTGTTTCTTATACTAATAAATGAAGAAAATTTAGATGAAGTTAACAGACAATAGAATATAATTAAGCGAAAGAAAATACTTTTCTTTATGTACTTATATATATATATATATTATATATGTATATATATATATATACTATCGAAATACGCGATAGATTTATTAAACATCAAATATACGATATACGTATGAAACGCCACATTCTAGCGGCAAAAATTGAATAATGAAGATTTAATACGATATTCAAATAATTTGTAACGTAAAAACAGCTATTTTACAATGTGATAGTATAATATACATTTTTTGTAAGCTGTATTAAAAAAGAGTTTAAATTTTTCACGAACTGCGAAAGTCACATGGTATGGTCCATGATACTTTTATAACTAAAACTTCAGTTATTATTTTTTCTTTTTCTTTGATTTTTTTCTCTCTTACATTGCAATGCAATATACATGAGACAAGTCTTACAGATGATACTGTGACGGCTTCAATAATCAATTATAGAAACCTAAACCTAAACCTAAATAGTTAACTTTAAATTCGAATTTCGAATAAACGCAAGAACACAAAAAAATAAAACTCTGAGGCTGTTAATAGAAAAAATGCAACTATGTGTTATGTTTCACATTATTTAGTTCTCAATTTCTAAGCAGATTTTGATCATACTTTTGTAAATAGTGTAACATTACTCCATTTATAAAATATTTATATAATACACCTTATAATGATTATATAATAAAAGAGGAAAAAATAATGATTAAATCCTAATTCTATACAGTGATAAATATGACAAAATATAAAGATAATAAAAATTTATATATTTTATACTTCTCAAACATTGATAAAGAAATGTGATTTGCATTGTAATTAAACTGGACGAATCGGGAAATTCGCTTCTGTGACTTGTATTACTTATTACAGGTCAAATTTGTTTATCCTAACGTCATTTTTAATAAATATTAAGCTATGAAAGACTTATTTTTTCTAAAATCATATCGGATCGTTATATAGATTCTATATTATTTTTTTTCTTTTTTTTATTTGTATTTGATATTGAAAGAATCACGAAAGGCGGTGATATCTTTAAATAATTGGGATTATTATCTCAAATTAAAAACTTAATTATCGATATTTTCTATATTTTTAATATTAGAGTCGTATCGTATAATCTATATTATGTTGAACAAATATTAACAAAAATTACAAAAGTATTTGTCCATATACATATATGATATGGAAAACATTTTCTACAATTTTTTTTATAATATTAATTTCTTCCTATGGAATATTTACTTTCGATTATTACGGTAGATAAACTGTTTCTTTAATCCCGCTAAATATTTCTTAAAAATGTTCATGTCATTTTAAATATATACTGCTATGTAAGCAGGTTATGAAAAGACTGATAGTCTTTTCTATAGATTTCACGATATATTCTTTATAATATAATGTAATCATATGTTCAAAATGTTCTGCGGTTTACTTTCGAGTATTTTCAAAACTCGCAGTCATATTTGTTATGC